TTTTTAAAAAAATAGATTTACTGAGACAAAGAACTGTTCAAGCTCGATGCGGTCTAAAGATCTGGAGACACTTTATTGTATTAAGACAGCAAGTAAAACTGACAACAACAGCAACAGTAATCCAGTGTTCAAATGGCTGTAGCAGATTTCAGTTTAATTCCTGTTTTGCTGTTGTTGTTGATGTTGCTGATGTTGTTGCTTGTTGTTTTTGTTGATGTTCATTTATTGCTCCTTATAAACTAGTTGCAGTCATGTGCAACCGAGGCATGACGACCAACGTGGACAATGGGAATGTGTGAATATGAAGAACTCAGACAGTCATGGTAATGTGATGAAAACCACATGTCCACAAACTACCGTTCAACCAGAGATTCAAACCTTATGCGAGACTGTAGATAACACAGACTTCCTACGGAGAATGCCTGTTGTAGATGAAATAGCAGGTATTGTTTACAGGAATGTGTTTTGTGCCAGGTGTAATGCCGTAATAAACGTATCTTACTGGCGAATGACCGCAGACTGTGGACCTATTCCAGCCTCAGCTCTTCCTCAAGACAACGCATTGTTATTGGCTTTTATAAGAGAAAACTGCACGGTTAAGTACCAGCCTACAGATAAACAGCGAAAATACCTCACAAATTGTCTTGTGACCAAAAGCAATTGCTCCTCGAAACAAATAGTTGAAAAAGAACCAGTGTTGCAAGATCTCTGTTCACACTACGCTTTCCCTGTTTGTGGAAATTCACACCGTAAAAACCTCCACTGTGCATTGTGCAATGGAGACGACATAACTCAGGTAAACTGTGGATGCCTGGCGCCAGTTACAAGCGATCCTCCAACTCAAGCCACGACTCTTAAGTCAACAACTCTACAACATCAAACGAATCCAGGGTCAACATCTTCAACGCAGACCACGACAAGTGATCCGACAACGCTTACCACGGGACCCGAATCAACAACTCTACTGTATACCATGACATCTGGAACAACACCTCCACCGTTTACTACGGGACCGTGGTCAACACCTCCACCACGTACCACAATACCTTGGACCACACCTCCCATGCTCATGACGACGCTTATGACGTCTGCAATGACGACAACTGATTTTCCACGTGAACCAGTTCCTCCTCCACTGAACATTCTGTTTGACTTTTCCTCCAATCAAATTAGCATTAAAGGCAAAACAACTCAAACTAAAGTTGTGGCACAAAAGACTTGTCAAGAAGGGTTTGTTTATGATCCTTTCGTTCAAAACTGCAGAGAGGCTTTCCACAAAGTGATTGCAAACCCCAACATCTCAATCAATTCAACCAATTCAACCAATTCAACGAGTGATGTCGAAATAATGCTGAACTGTTCCGGCATACAGCTTAATTCTTCAGACACAGTTTTGCTTCCAAATGGAACTTTGTGGGTTCCTTTACACTCCACAGGATATAACCGCACTGATTATTTCATGAATGGCTCCTTTGTATTTTTGTGCTCAAACTTTGCAAGTAACTACTCAAAGAGAGAAACAATTGCAAGGTGGTCCTATGTGGTATCTCCATTACAGATTATTACCTACGCCGGTTGCTCAGTTTCGGTTCTATCGCTGCTTATTTTACTCGTCGTTTACTGCGTATTTAAGGAGTTGAGGACTCTGCCAGGGAAAAATCTGATAAACCTGTCTTTTGCAATGATATTTTATCACATATTCCTGTTTGTCGCAGGATTAAGAAACATCCAAGCTCTCTGCACTGGAATCGCTGTTCTTCTTCATTACTTTTTGTTATGTTCATTTGCATGGATGAGTGTGATGGCATTTGATGTGGCAAAAACATTTGTATTTCACGGTAAGAAGTGCTCTCATTTATCGTTTAGGTCTTGATCAAAAGCAGTGAGCATCACGTGACATAATATAGCGCTAAACATGTCAGCCTTTCTAAGTAAAATGACTAAAGGAGTCGTTGAATTAAAGTGTACATTCACCCTCTCTCCACTCCCACTCTTTTTTGCCATGAGACCTCTCACCCAGACATTAAAAATATTAATGGTTTATGAAACAATTTATCAGTGTTAATTCTGAAGACAATGTAGAAAGCGTTATCTACACATAATATGCTTTTGTGACTGGTCAGAGAGAAAAAAAATAGACCAAGTCGCCGATCCCTTTCGTCAAACACGAAAAACAATAAACAATGCTTTACTATGATTTCAGATAATGCCGCACGTTCCCAACCAGCTAGGAACAGTAGGAGGACTCTCTTTAAATACTGTGTGTGTGCCTGGGGTTTACCTGCAGTTGTTGTGGTCACGTGTTTTGCGTTGGATTACACGGATACTGTTGGCATAGGCTACGGTATGCCAGAAAGTTGCTGTGTGGCATTTTTTTTTTTTCCTGTTACATAAGATATATTATCGCGCAAATAAGATTTTTCTTGTGTTCGAGAGAGACTGGATACGTTTGTTTACTGCATTGGTATGACTGGGCTAAGGATTTAACACGTGTGTATTTTTCATAATGTAATACTTGACATTCCAGGTTTCCGGGGGGTCGCGAGATCAACACCCATCAGAGACTCGTCAGAGGCAAGCTGAACGCCTGTTTGAAAATAATTATACGAGCTGTTGGTTGCCAAGCTAATGCAAATTCATATGTGTTATTTGTTTGTTTGGTTTTGAGTTTAAATTTTAGCTTAATGCCTCCCCCCCACCCCCAATTAAACATGCCGAGATTAGCGACATTGTAAGATTTTGATACGTTTTCTTTGGCAGGACACAGTGGATTTTGCTGGATCAAAAATGGTACTACGTTGCTAGCTGTTGTTGGTGTCCCCGTTGCAATGGCTATTGTATTTAATTTCGCAGCTTTAACTTGGACAGTCATTTCTATTTACAAAGTGCGCAAGGTAAGATCATTTGATTTATTGGCTGGGAAGCATTTTACCAAGTAGCCTGTACAGCTATACAGTTGAAGCAATTCCAATATTCATTAAGATGCGTGCCCAGCTGATTATCATTCTACCGATGGGACCTTGATCCTTATTTAATTAGGATGTTTTGCGACTGTTCTTCAAAACCACTTTATAAGGAAATAGCAGCAGTATCATGTACGGTGTATAATGTATCTCCTGTCTGAGAAAGATAACAACTGATACCTAATGTCTTTCGGGGATGGGATGGGATGAGATGAGATGAGATGAGACGAGATGGGATGGGATGGGATGGGATGGGATGGGATGAGATGAGATGAGATAAGATAAAATAAGATAAAACCTTTATTTATCGAGGGTTAACACATAATAGGGGGCATTCACTGATAAAGTCAATTTGTTGTGGAGGCTGCTGCTCTCTTAGTAATGCAATTCATCATGACGGATTCCTGCCCAATATTTTTTTTTTGTATTTTCGAGTACCAGTCGCTTGATGCCAGATTATTAATATATTACCAAAAATCACTAGATTCTTATGCCAACCATTTGTTGTACTGTATTCATGCAGGTCACTAGTAAATTGTCCGACCAGGGAAGTCACTCAAGTCTCGCTCTGCTGTGCATCAAGCTGACTGGCGTCCTTGGTCTTACATGGGTGTTTGGATTTCTCAGTTCCATCGTAAAAACTGACGCTACAGCATATCTTTTTGTGGTGGTTAACAGCTTACAAGGTGAGGTGTCAAAAAGGAACAAATCTTCTGCCTTAGAGATGACTGAGGCAGTTCGTAATTCAACGCATCATCTCACTGACGTCTCGACTTGTTTAGTTACAGTACAATGAATCTGTAATACATGTACAATTTGAATACGGGCTTAGAATTACATTTTTAGTCTCAGGTTTGATTGCACGGAAAATAACGCCTTTCCTTTTCTTTCAACTTTATTTTCCATTTTTTTTCCTTTTAAAGTGAATATATGAAAGATCATATATTTGACCTATTGTTTGCTTGTTTCTTTGTTGCCAGAGGGATAGTATAATATCAATACAGGTACTTAAAATCTGGTTGTTGATGGCCAGGGATATATAAATGACAAGATGATGACCCTTTTTCTTTATTTCTTTTTTTCACAGGATTTTTTATTTTCCTGACGTTTGTTGCAAAGAAGAGAACTGTAACTTTGCTGAGAGGCGCGAAAAAGAAATATCATGAAGGAGGTCACAGTACCTACAGTATCAACACATTTGACACAAAGTTGTAAAATGCTCTGCTCTGCCTGTTCTTTCTAAATATCTGGAAGTATCAAATAACAAAGACATAAAAATTAAGGTTTCGCTCTTTTCTCAATACAAACTCAAGTCAATACAAATTCATACCCTAGAGGTTGTTCAACGGAGGGGTGAGTTTAATAGGTAGCTCTCAACTTACTCTACAAAATAGATTACTTTTTTGGGTATGGCTTTTGAAGCCGTCATTATGTCCCTTATATTTGATCTCGTTACATTCTCAGGAAGAGAGAAAATTATGTAAAATTGGTAGAAAATATTGATTTAAAATGGTAACAGAGCCTCCCCCCCCCCCCCCCCCCC